GAAGGAAATAGGGAGGAAAGTGGAAGGCTTTCAAAATCCTCCACTTCCTCCCATTCTAAACCCCCAAATCGGGATATTTCGGAGGAAACGTGTTGATAAGCACAAACTTTCCATCTTCCATGTGAATGAATAAAACGTTATAATATAAAAAGGTAAAAAACAAAAAGTTTTGAAAAATTAAAAATTTAAAAATTTAAAGATTAAAAATTAAAAAAAAAATTAAAAATTAAAAATTTTAAAAATTATAAATTAAAAATTTTAAAAATTAAAAATTAAAAAATTTAAAAAATAAAAATTAAAAATTAAAAATTCCAAACTGAAAAATGAAAAATTATAAAAGTCAAAAAGTAAAAGAAGAAATTCCACTTATGGTCCTTCGAGTTTTGCACCAATTCCACAATTTGTCCTCGTCTTTCATTTTATCCATTTTTGGTACCTGACTATTGTTTTCTTGACCATATATAGTCCTTTTCCGATAGTAAAAATGCTCAGAAATGGACCACAAATGGTCAAGAAAACAATAGTCAGGTACCAAAAATGGATAAAGTGAAAGACGAGGACTAAATATGGAAATGACACAAAACTCGGAGGACCTAAAGTGGAATTAATTCAAAGTAAAAAATCAAATAAAATAAAATTATGACTCATGACCATAGGAGTAATATTCACAATAGTTAGACATATATCTATTTTTTGTTCCTTCAATTCATACCAATTTAATTTGTGTTGCCAAATTATGTCATGATAATGATGCATGTGCTAATTGAATTTCACCCCTCTTTCTATTTTATCAAGGACCGACGAACAGGAGCAATTTTGTTACGTGGTATGAATAATGGAGATGTCTACGGTCTACTGGATGTACCGATTCCTTCATCTCCATGTGCTAATGTTACTACAAAGTATTCTCTTAATAAATGGCATTGCCGTTTAGGTCACCCTACTCTTCCTATATCTCAAAGGGTTATTTTTTCATTTGGTGTTTCATTTAAAAATGTTACGAAGGACATCTCTTTATGCACTTCATGTGAAAGTAATAAAAGTCACAAGTTACCTTTTGCTAAATATTCACTTTCAAGTTCTGACCCTCTTTGACCTAATTTTTACAGATGTTTGGGATCCTTCTCGCATTACTTTTGTGGATGGTTTTCGTTACTATGTTATTTTTGTTTATCACTATACCAAATACATTTGGTTTTATCTCATCAACCATAAGTCTGAAGTAACCTCAACTTTTCAACAATTTAAGAAAATTGTAGAAAACTTTTTTCAAAAAAAATTTAAAATGGTTTACTCTGATGGGGGAGATGAGTATGTCATCCTAGGGAAATTCTTGAGCTCCTTTGGTATTTTCCATTTATTAACCCCTCCATATACTACGAAACATAATGGTTTCGCTGAACGACGACATCGTCATATTGTTGAAACAGGGATCACTTTACTTCATCATGCCTCCATGCCATTTAAATATTGATCTTATGCTTTTCAAACAGCAGTGTATCTCATTAATAGACAACCTGCAACATCTCTCAATTTCTGCACTCCATTTGAAAAGCTTTTTCAAAAACCACCTCATTACACAAAACTTGCTATTTTTGGGTGTTAATGATTTCCGTGGTTACGTCCTTACACAACCCACAAATTAGAACCTCGATCCAAACCATGTGTTTTTTTAGGATATTGTGATCAACAGAGTGCATATCGATGTCTTAACCCAGCTACCCATCATATTTTTATTAGCAGGCATGTAATGTTCAACGAGTCTGTTTTTCCCTTCTCTCAGACCGCAACACGTATTACTAATCTCTCCTCGGAGATTGATAACCGGATTCAACCACTTATTTCTTATCTTCCTCTTTTAGGTACACCGGCGGTGAAGACATCTCCTATTTCTCATACCCCGACTCAGCAAAGCACTCCCGGTAGTATGTGGATGGTGTATGTGGATAATATTATTGTTACTGGTTCCACTCCTACTTTGGTTCGTCGGACTATTGATTCATTAGCGCAAAAATTCTCTATTAAGGATTTGGGATCCTTAATTATTTTCTAGGCATGCAGGTCACTCCGACACAGGATGGGCTCTTTCTTGACCAACACAAATACATTACTGATTTATTACATATGTTGAAATTGGATGAGGCTAAACCGGTATCCACCTTGGCTTCCTCGGTATCCTTAACCTTGTTTGATAGTTCGGGGTCTTGCGATGTGACTCTCTATCGTCAGGTCATTGGATCACTTTAATATTTGAGACTCACAAGACCAGATGTTGCCTTTGCTGTCAACATACTTGCTCAATTTATGCACAAACCGACGGTTACTCATTGGCAGCATATTAAACGCCTATTATATGGTACCTTCAAGGCACTAATTCTTATGGTCTATATCTCCGCCGCAATTCATCTCTTTCTCTACGTGCTTATACCGATGCAGACTGGGTAGGGAATCCCGATGATCGCTTCTCAACTAGCGCATATGCCATTTTCCTCTATTACAAGTCTCCTATAACAGCTTCTGACAGTAAACAAGCCCCTACGGTCATCATTCCAGTATTAACCATCGTCAATCTGACGTAAACTTAACGGGATACTTTGAATAACTGCGACTTCTTCCTTTAAAAAAATCGCATTAATGCGTGTGACATTCCACATTTTCCCATTTTCATTCCACAAGGCCGCCACATTCATGTCAAGAATCCCTTCTCGCCTAGAAAATTGCACTTTCCCCGACCCTACGTCACGTACCTGCAACAACAACATTCTGAGCAGCTAAACTACTTCGCCAAATAAAAGATGGATTACCTCTGACCTTAGCTTCAGCAAACGAATTGTGAGGAAAATATTTAGCTTTCATCACCTGTCCCACGAGTGAGTCTGGCTCTGTTAGCAGCTTCCATCATTGTTTACCAAGCATGGCTACGTTAAATTCTTTTAGCCGTTTAAATCCCAACCCACCATGAGTTATCGGTAAGCACATAGCCCTCCAATCTTTCCACATTATCCCTTTTCTGGTGAAATCATTTCCCCACCACCAATACCCGTTCATAATTCTCTCAATCTCCAAAATTAGATATTTTGGCAAAAGAAAAACATTCATAGAATATGCTGACATGGCTTGGATAACCGACTGTAGTAATATTTCTCTCCCGACCTTAGACAAAAATCGATTATTCCAACTCTGAAGCCGTTTGACAATACTAGTAATATTTGGTTCATTCTTTCTTTTGTTTTTATTGAAATAATTTCAAAAATATTACTACTACTTTGTATCAATATAGATAGGGGATACAAATATAACTTAGTAGTAGAAAATTTTAATGACTATAACTATGTACAAATATTACATTTTAGTGATGGTAAAGTATATTCATATTCACCTTATTCACATTTTAATCCATGTATATTGTTTTATTTATTTTTAGAAAAAAACTCATTTTTATTTGTTTAGAAAAGGGACACAAATATTATCTCTTGCATTATGAAATATAAAAATGAGTAATTTTCCTATTTTTCCGCAATATGACAAACCTTTTGCTTAATTAGTCTAAATATTTCTTATTGTAATTTATATTTAATCTCTACCCCAGTTCCCAACCCACACATCCAATCCTGGAGATCACCGCCAAAAAATCACCGAAAGCTATGACGATTTTTTCATTTTTTTAAATTTTCCGAACAATGACATGATTTACTACGGGTGAGCAAATAACCAATTTAACCGACCTGACCGAAAACCGATGACCAAACCAACCGAAAAAAACGATTTTCGGTCGGTTTTCGGTTATTAAAAAGAATCGGTTATTCGATTATATTTATCGGTTATCAGTCACTCACCAATAACCGTCCAAAATATATAAGTATATATACTCCATAGTAATATAATACTCTGTATACTCCAGCCCACACTTATTGAAGTCCATCTACGAAACCCAATAATCGAATGCTCTGGAGCCCGCAATCCTTGACCTCGTTAGATGAGTTTGATGGTTTGGGGGTTAAATGTCTAAGAAGTTAATAGCTTAATTATTTGTTTCCTGGAGCCCTCAATCCTTGACGTCATGTGTGCATATGTAGTGTGCTTTGTACTTTTTTTGTTCAAATGTGTGCTTTGTACAATTGTACTATTATTTACATTTAAATAAGTTAAATCCATTTTGGTAATTATTATTTTATTTATTAATGTGATGTCTACAACTTTCATAATTTTGAAAATTATATGCTTTTGAAATAGGATCAGTTATGGTCGGTTATACGGTTATCGACCGAAACCGATTGACATTTTTCAGTCGGTTTTTGCAATGTTGTCGGTCGGGTATGAGAGTAAAAAATATTGGTCGGTTCGGTTATCAGTCGTGTAACACCCCAGCCCTGCAGGCTCCGAGGTAGTTACTCCAGACCTCTAATACTGTCTTCACAAACCGCCACTAGCTTTTTCCGCGCACTTTGTCCTCACTGGTGCGCGCCCTGAGAAACTTCTCAGGTGGTCATCCATCCCAAGACTACTCCCGTGCAATCACGCTTAACTTTGGAGTTCTTAGGTGATGGACTCCCTTAAAATGAGATGCATCTTGTTGGTATGAGTAGTACTATTAATCCGTTTAAATTAAATCTCAAGTGTTACAGGTCGTTTATTTGACCGACCGACCGAATGCTTACCCCTATGTTTTACAGCAATAGTGACATCTATGGAGACGACAGTGACATCTGTTGATGGCATAAAAATCTGACAATCATATTATGTTTTTCAATGTCACGTTTTTGTTCATATGTAAAAGTAGTCACTTTTTAGAAATGAGCTTCAATTTTGTTACATTTAAGAAAAACCCCCAAAAATAAAATGTATGGACATGGTTTGGGTCATAATTCGGATTATCATGATCAATAGTTGAATTTAATCGATTGTTTTCAAAGAGAAAACGTAAAATAAAACGTTAAAGTGAGGAAATATGAAGTTCGTGAAATTCAAAGAATTAGATCATAATTTTGGAACATAAAATGTATTTAACCAAGGATGATTTTATTTAGACTGTTTTCAGTCTCAGATTACACCAGACTAGATCAGTCCCGAGCATACCATCTTGAATATTTATTAAATATACAGAAACCAGACATTTATCAGGCCAATTCAAATCAGACCAGAAAATTGCAGTCCAATTAAATACATAGTAGGACAAATGAGCACTATAATATCTTAAACCGAGATACCGTGTTAGCAGGTCACGAACAGTGCATAAGCCCACACGTCATAACTACTAGCAACACTCGATTCATAAAAGATTTTAAAGGATTGTAGATTCTAAAGGATAAAGAGGCGTGATTTGTACTCTATGCTTGTGTAGAACGTCCAAAGTAATACCTGCATGCACAGAAGACACATTCAAAATGCCGAATGGAAGTAGCCTGAAAGCTAACTGCATTTCCAGTGCACAATAGAGCAGTGAAGTTGAAAAGATGGACACGGCATGTGCGCAACAGAGAGACTTACACATAAAACTTTATGCCGAAAATGGCTGCATATTTCTGCAGGAGACGCTCAATGGTGTACCATACTGACCTGTCAATCCCATCTTGATAGCCAATCCGTGGCATGTGGATTGATGCTTCACACACGCCCCCAAAGAGAAAACAAACCAAAGCGATTAAAATGAAAAGTTCAGTTTAAATCGCATGCCACTTTTCATAGGCAGCTTGATGATACAAAAGTAATAACAGAAATAGCAGAAAATTTATGTATATCACAACTACGAGAGAGTGAAATGACCATGACACCACTGCAGTGACAAGATATCATGTACTCCCGTCTAAAAAATCAGTCATGGTTCTAATGCTAAGATCAAATCTGGGACCCAAGAGAAATTTGATCCTTACACCCCGTCCCTAGGACTTTCACCTATGATCTTCCTTTAACACTTGACTTTGCACCTTAGACTCGGGTGCTCTAGGGTGCATGTTCAAGGAGAAGTCAAATATTGGGGCAACACATGGGGGTTCTAAGTTTTTAAACCAAAGACCAAATTTCCCCTTTGTAAGTTTATTCCTCCAATCTTTATAAACTTATAATTGAGATACATTATTCCCCGCCATTTAAACTGCCCTTTAGTATTAAGATTTTATGGAAGCATTCTGAGTAAAAATAGAATGCCTTAAAAAACCCTAATATTTAAAGGTGTAATCAGTGATTGTATCAAGATGGACTAATTGTGTCTAGATTATAAAAATCAAGGAACTAAATTTAAAAATATTGAAATATAGGTCCCATTATAACTTACTATCAAACGATTGAGGGGCTACAAGAATGATTTTTCATATATTCTATACGTCAAGGGATGAGAGGATAGGGGGCCGTGTCCACAATGAGACGTAGAATTTGAAGCATTGGTTACTAAATAACACATAATGAGAGCATATAAACCCAAAATACCAGACTTCTGAGCAGCAACATGGGATGCTTTCAGTAGGCACTCTTCTAGGTCAGGGATAGATATGTTACTCCTCGGGACTTTTCTCTTCGGATTGTATGATTGCACAACAGCCAAAGCAACCCATTGGGGAGTATGAGGTAACATACTGTTACTACTGCAATCCTCTGTTATCATAACACAATACATACAATTGAAGGTTCAGAAGCATTTCAACTCTCAGAAAACTGGAAAGGAAATAAATAAGGTTAGTTAGGTTACCAATAAGAAAAGGAGAATCTTGTTGGGTCAGTTTGGATAAAGATTTCTGGATGGTTTTGGAGGGCATATGTCTATATCTTGATAAATTGATTATAGATGGTGATCGAAATGTTACATGATCAAGTATTATGATATTACTTCAATTATTATGAATATCATACACATATCAAACTATAGGCTTAACCTAACGAAGTGGGGTATGTTCCACCTCTCTGTTATATACTGTATGATAAGGCATATTAACCTGAACAGATTTGATAAAAATGGTTTACCTGTAATTTCTATGAGATGGAGATCACCTAAGTGAAGATCACCAAATTCAGAAGCTCGCGCGTATGCCTTCGAGATACTTGGTGAAAGTTTGGCTAGTGCATTAAACATTCCTCCATGTCCCCAGTTTCCTGAGTTATCAACGCAGCTGCCAAAAAATGTTAGCCATTAGGAAACCACAGCCATCTCCACCCATTGCCACCCCAAAAACTTAACTTTATCATGAGAATAATCCATGTAGATTGATAATGTTCCCTCCATCTCAAACAACAGTTTTGTTTTGAGAAAAGTAAAACTTTTTATTTTTAGACTCAATCAAGGTACAAGCTTTTACAAATTATGAAAGATCACTTATAACCCTGCAAGGCTGCGACTTCCAAGATTAGTTGGAATAATTGACTACAACCACTTGCAGTTTGCTTTTACAGGAATTTTACTTAAAGATCCTAAATCCGGACTTTTTTGGGGACAAAAGCTCTTGAAATGGGGCTCTGTATCTTTTCTTTTTGGGACGGAGTAAATGAAAAATTCTATGCTAGCCATGGGATCAACTCCACGCCAAAAAGAGCAAGAGACTAAGCACGTCATCATCATCATTACCCCAGTGCCATAAAGGCTCCCACCTACGGTGGGGTAAGGGTAAGCATGTATACCTAGGAATATGAATTACAGACAGAATGAAAAAGGTAATCGGCCTTCTATAAGCTTGGGGTGCATGCCTGAAAATACCTGAAAATTACAACCTTTTGGGCGTGCATACCTGAAAATAACTGTTGGCTCTGATGGACACACGTTCAAGGGAAGTGTGCAATCCCCATAAACGAAATGGACAGAACCACAATCTGATATACCATCCTTATCATCAGGGCAAACTGGATCTTTCACAGACAATGAATGATAACCTAGAGCTTCCCATTTGGTAATTTTTTTCTCCTCTGCCCTTTTCCTTGCAGCTTCAGCTTTTAAATGATTCTCCTCCAGTAACCTCCTCCTGCTTCCCGTTTCCATAGTTGTGGCATTATTTTCCTGCAATACTTCCTTGAACTTTTCGATCCATGATTGGTATGAAATTTCATCTACAACAGGATCCAGATGAACAGAATCTGCTCCCTCAGTGATAGAATAACTCCCGTTAAGTATGTCCGCATAATTCATCTGAAACTTATCCAAACGTTGCTCCTTGCGTAACAGAACTACTTTTTCAGCCATTGCATTTAACTCACTCATATCCACTTTATCAGAGTTTTCCTTGCTAATCTTCATGGGATCTAGCATGTGTAAGCCAAGTACAATAGATCGTAAATCACCATAATCTGCTCCTGGAATTTCTTTCCCATTCTCTTTCACATCCCGATCTGTAACATCCTCACCTATGATATTATGGCTCAGCTGCAATTTTTTATTTGCTCTTCGCATGATGACCTATGCACAGAAGAGATGGATCTTTATCTGTAAACCAAACAGGTATTAAATATATTTTATATTTTGCACATTCACCTCCTCCACTGTACTCTTGGTAACTAAGTGAATGGATAAAACATCATTCATTTGACCAATCCGGTGAGCACGCTGCATAGCTTGCTTGTCTACCTGGGGATTCCAATCCTGCTCATAAAATATGACCTGCAACCTATCATGTGTAAGAAGTCGATAGGTCCACGTGGATGATAACATAAATACATAATCGATCTCAGTATGCAGCATTGAAGCACCAAAAAGAAAAAATGTAATTTTCTGTTGTGAGAGATTAATAAAGGGTAAATGGTAATGATTTGACATCAGAATTTCCGTTTGTGAGATTCATATAGCACGCCATTTTGAATAGATACCTATAAAGTAGTAACTAATTAATCAATTACTTAACCAGTCTTGATCCCATCCCAATTTTGCACTGATCGCTCAAGGTTTTCATCCCTTTCAAAGTAATAACAGAACGTTAGAAAACATACCTATTTCAATATAACAATGATAGGAGCACAAATAGCTGCTGAGGGGTTATCATACTTACAAACAACAAATGTAACACACTTCAGTATCACAGTGATAGGAAACCTAGAATTGTGAGAACAACTTTTCTCAATCTGTGAAGGTTAAGACGCTAGGAGGAACGTTGAAAGTGACCATTGAAAATTTTGAACAAAAAACAGAAGCAGCTCAATAAATACTTTTGATGTTATTATGATCGAATACAATGTGTTAGGGACCCGGTAGAATAAGAGTAAATAAGAAGAGTAATAGTTAGAGTAGTATACATAGAAGGGGAGTGGGTAATAAAAGGAGGCTGTTATTTCAGTTGACTTTAGACTTGGAGATTGGGCATCTCGAATGGTCTTGTACTGTTTTCCTTCTGTAAATACATCTCTCATCAATAAAGCTTTCTTGATCATCTTCTTGATCTATTCTTTACAATTTCTGTAAGATCTTTTAATCAAATTACCAGTGTTCTATCATTAGTATCAGAGCACGTCGACACTGTGGATTGGTCTTTAATCAGGTGCAAATGGATTTACGTATGAACAAGCTGGAGAAGACTACGATGACCTTGGCGGCAATACAGGAGTCTTTCACGAAACTGAACACTGGTAATTTGATTAAGAAATCTTACAGAAATTGTAAAGAATAGATCAAGAAGATGATCAAGAAAGCTTTATTGATGAGAGAAGTATTTACAGAAGGAAAACAGTACAGGACCATTCGAGATGCCCAATCTCCAAGTCTAAAGTCAATTGAAATAACAGCCTCCTTTTATTACCAACTCCCCTTCTATTTATACTACTCTAACTATTACTCTTCTTATTTACTCTTATTCTACCAGGTCACTAACACAATGTAGTTCAGATTCAATTTGATAATCGCATATAATGAAGTTGTGCCATACTCACTGTATCAGCAGCCGCGAGATTCAATCCGACCCCTCCAGCTCTTGTTGAAATCATAAAGACAAAAGATTCATGCTGATCAGCTTCTGAATCTGAACTTCCTTTGGATAGTCTCTGGCCAAAACTTCTTATTGCAGCAAATCGTTCCTCTGCCCGAATAGAACCATCCAGGCGCACATAGGAATATTTTCTCAGCTCCAGGTAATCCTGCATGAGAATATATCACACACAACTTTGAAGAGAAATAGAGTCAAATGTTAATCAGGAGTACCCACAAGAATTATACTTGCAATATATCAAGAGTGTGGGTCATCTGGGCAAAAAGAAGAACACGATGTCCAGAAACGTGCAACTTCTGAAGTAGACAATCCAGAAGAAGAAGCTTGCCACTACCCTGTTAGAAAGCATTGTCAAATCTCAATGGGAAAAGATGCTCAAAGAACAAAAGATTAAATGAGGGGGGTGTATAAGAGCACTTAAAAACATAATTAATGTACTGTTTTTGGTATAAGAATATCAGTACTACTTTATATGATTGGTGAAACATGATATGATTATCCTAACTCTAAGAAAGTATCTCTGATTCTCTGCTCCACTTCATAGAATCGAAAAGTAATAGTGTTGCTACTAATGAAATGATGATAAACTTACCAGCACCAGGTGCTCACCCTCTTCATATGGTTCAGGCTCAATACCAGGAAAAAGGTAAGGGTGACTACATGCTTTTCTTAGCTGTATTACCTGGAAGAAGTAAATAATAAGATCCTAGGGACTTAGGGAGAGCTCGGAGAGAGTTTGATAATATAAATAAACATTAAAAGGCGGTACTTATGCAGTAAAAAGCATCCCACAGTGCATCAAATGCATTGCCAGGGAGGGATATAAATATTATAACTGGCCATTGATGTGCACATGGAACTTTGGAAGCAGGTAAGTTCTTGTGTATGCAAGTATCTAAGATGAAAATGATGCAAATAATTCCACAAGAGGTTTCTCTTTCAGTCAGACCTTAATCAGTGAATCAAGAACTGCTGATTGGTGTACCTAACTGTTCAACATTATTGAGAAATGTCATGCAAATACGCTTTAGCAATCAAGTACTAATGTGACTTCTTTATGTTATTTTTCTTATTTTCTTTTTCTAGGGAGAAGTATGCTCAAGTTTTCCAAAGATTGGATCTGACAATGAATGCAATTAAAGCAAAAAATATTCATAGGGGGGGAGGGGGGTTGAGCATTAGAGAAGAGTCTAGTCAATCACTCAATCCAAATATGAAGGCACTAAACTTGTGAAATTATTTGCTTACAATATTCTGCAATGACCGAGTTGAGCCTCCTGAAGAAAGAGCTAGCAACTGGGGAAGTTCCTTCCTCAATATTGACATATACACCGCCTTCTGCAGTTCAACTAAAGGTGCCATCCTATCAAAGAGATTTTCACAAGAAAACTAGCCATCAGACAATATTGTTCTTCAAAAGTAGGCATGCAAGATACCAACGACACCACACTATCTAACAGACATAAGAATAAACCAATTTCTATTCATTTGAGTAGGTGGCTGTAACCAGAATAAAGTCCAACATTGGATATTGGAATATTGCAGCTACTCCATGGAACTCACACTGTTATCTCAGTTAGAGAAGGGAGTACAAGAGTTCCAGATTCAATGAGTTGACTTTTAGTTCTTCTAAGCATAAAAGCCCCCAGTATATATTTCAATATTTTGAGTTGCCTCTTGGCTCTTCCTGCATCATCGCCTGTAAGAATAACCACAGTAATTGGAGTAAGAAGAGATTGATGTCACAATTGTTAGCAGTGGAAATTAAATATCTGAAACAACATAAAGCATATAAAAATGAAATCCCATGCTAAACATTAAATTAATTCATGTCAAAGGAACCGAAATACATCACAAGTATTGGTTACTTGTTGCGTCTCTCAAACTATTTGCATGAGAATTTTACGTTGAGTATGCATGTACTGATGCACACCATGATATTACACATGTGTGTGTCTTTATGTAAGTATGTACGCATGCATGCAAAAATAACACAAACTGCACACAGAAATCCATATAGACTACTGTTGGAGATACTTAGAGAGTACCTTATCAAATATAGACTACTGTTGGCATAAACGTGAACCTAATAAGAGCTATAATCGTGTGAGAGTTTTAACAGTGACAGATTATGGCTGATGGGCACATTTCCGCTATACAAGCATGATGTTGCATGACTTGCAGCCTATAGAACTACTATGGAGTGTGACACTCCAAAACTTTCCTCTGACAGCTGACACAAAAAGTGCCAGACCATTCCACCAGACCACAATGGCTACTATTTAACAAAGTTGGTGAGAAAAAGTAAAGAAAACTTATACTGTGGACACGTGAGGTTAAAAAAAGTTCTACATGAAGAATCTCCTGCTTCCTTGAATGCAGAGAGAAACTGATCTGATGTCCCAAATATTGAAGGCATACAAAAGTGCATCAACGCCCAAAGTTCAGAAAGGTTGTTTTGTATAGGTGTGCCAGTCATCAGTAATTTCCTTGGCATCAAAAACCGTTCTTTCAGGACACTGTACAAGACCTGTTAAAATTTCATTTCACAATAGAAGCTGTAATTTCCGTCCAAGTAACAAATGCAAAGTAACAAATTAATAGTAATAATAATAACAATATATCAATATAAGCAGTAGTTGTCGTAGTATATATAGCATATTCTGCTATATAGCAATATCTAATGTACAAGATATATTTAAATGTTTGGTTTGTTTTTAAATGATGCTAAATGCAAATTATTTTTATTCATTGCATCTATAAATTTATATGGTAACCCGGAAATGGGGGGTCACACCGAAGATTCTCTCAACAAGAAGATCCCAGGCTGCATAGATGCAAGTGTGCAACACGGCAGCATAAATGCCAACCCAAAGTTGGTCTGTGATATTAGAATTCTAAATAAAATTCTGAATTTTTAGAGAGTTGAGAGAAACATGAAAATGTACACTGTGTGTATTCTTCAGTCTTTGTGCTTCATCAATTATAGCATAATGCCATGGAACTTGGGAAAGAAACTCTTGATCAACCAATGCTATGTCATAAGTTGTTAAAAGAACATCAAAAGGCAGTGATGAAGTCTTGGATACCTGTGCTAAGAAGGTACAAAAATCACACCATAACACGCAATACATATAGGATATGATAGCAACACTAAGACATGGGTTTAAAAAGTAAAATTATGATAGCATAAATTGCAAGACGATGAGGATTAAACATGCAAAAAGAGCTGAAAAAATCAATTAGTTCACAAATTATATCCACCTGTGATTCCTTGGTAACATGCTCATGCATTTTCCTACGCAGGTCGCGCCGATGCTCTTTCTCCCCAATATAACAGATAACATTCAGCTTTGGAGCAAAGTTTGCGAACTCGGACTTCCAAGAGTCAGTCACACTAAGTGGACACAATACCACTGCAACACATTTTGGAAATGCAATAAGGATCTTCAAAATGGAACCTCCAAGTCAGATACTTACAAGCTTATTTTTTTAACATGTTTAGATCAAGGGAGGGGGGTCTTTACTCACAAAAAGGACCAGGAGATTTTTGTGAAACCTTCAAGTAGCTCAAAAGAGAGATTGCTTGCAGCGTTTTTCCCAATCCCATCTGCCAAATAACATTTTACACCCAAAAACAAATGGAGCAAAGTTTTCCAATTTACTGAGACTACACATAATAAATGTACACTAAACAAATCCAGTTCCGCATATTTCTGCAATTTCAAGCGATGACACTATAAAAAGGGCATGTGTTTAGGGGGGGGGGGGGGGGGGGGGGGACCACGAACATTGGAAGCCATACCTCATCCCCTGCAATGAAAGGGCATAAGTTAGGCTAATTAAAACTTAAGCAAATTTTTCAGTTTCCAGTTTGTTCCCCTTACCGAGAATGACATTGACGCCGAGACGATATCTCCGGGTAAGCCATGAGACTCCTTCAACTTGGTGAGGCTTAAGCGTCGCTTCTACTCCTAAGTCGGCGGAGCTAAGTTGCGACGCGTCTGCAGCACTCGAGTCATCAGCGTAGGTGTACTTCGCCGCCGCTATAAGCCGCCGCTCGTAATTCATGCCAGTGGCTGCGACTAAACTAGCCGTCGGAGTTATAGACGAACGACGGCAAACTCTGGCCGATGAGCACCAACGGCACCGTTGAGCGACGTGGCTGTTTTAGCGACCGACTTCAGTTATTTGCGAAAGCGCCAGGTGTCAAGAATGACAAATTTTTTCTTTGGAGAAAAATAAAATGGCGGGATTTCTGAACTGAAGTATGGATGGGTCCAAAAAACCAAAAACCAAATATGGAATCAAATTAAATGGAATCGTTATCAAATAAAATCGGATAGCTAAAAAACGAAAATGAATGTAAAAATACAAATTGTAATGAACCAAATAAATCGAGCTATCAATAATAATAAGTTGGGACTGTTGCTTTGTGTCTAAAATATTAAGCCGGAATTGCTGTTATGTGCCTATTCATTATTCTATTGGGCTTTGTATATATTCTTAAATAGCCTTTATGTGATAAGTATAGATACCAAAACTTATCGGTGGGCGTAGCTCAACTGGTACCAAGGAAGTGTCACAAGGATTAGGTCCCGTGTTCGAATCCCGGCAACTGCGATGAGGGGTTACTGTGCTAAAAATGCATTGGGCTTCTCTGCAAGTACCGGGGACAGAGCTCCGCTCTATATCTTTCAGATTGGGATTATAGTCCAATTTACATCCTTGCAACGTACCGTCCCGTCGGGGTTGGGGGGGGCTCAGGGATGGGGTGTCATCCTTTTTTTATAAATACCAAAACTTATTGTAATTAGGTTAACCTTTTCATTCAATCGATCTTCTTACTTCTGCTATCTTCTTCTGCAAACTTTCATCATCTTTGATTTCAATTTCATCAAATTTCTGGATATAAATCTCAACATGATATCAGATTAGGATTCGATCCTTCATCGTCCTTCTGATAATCTTCGTCTTCTTTCGATTTCTATAGATCGTTGCTTCTCTGGAATTGTTTCATCATGTAATCTTAATCGCAAAAACTTTTCTTTGCAATGAATCGATCGACTTTCCCCTTAAATCCTACTAAAGATGTTTCGTCTCCATATTATTTGCATCCTAGCGATCACGCAGGCCTCCGGATCATCTTTGAAACGCTTACTGGAGATAACTTCACTGCTTGGAAGAAATCCGTCACTATGGCCTTCAGCATGAAGAACAAGATGGCATTCATCGACGGCTCTATCACTCAACCAAGTCCAGCAGAATCTGTTGCTTATACAATCTGGTATCGTATCAATGCTTTACTACTATCTTGGTTGTTTTACTCCATTGCTCCTGCAATTCGCTCTACTTTCTTATACTTTACCTCTGCCAAGGATCTTTGGGACGAAATTAAGGTTATGTACGATAAAAGTGATGGTCTTAGAGTTTTTTATCTAGAAAAATCCCTAGGCAATATCTCTCAAGGAACTCAAACTGTTATTACTTACTACAACATATTCAAAGGTCTTTGAGACGAATATGTTGGTTTTAAAACCCTACCTTTTTGTTCTTGTGGTCTTTGTACCCGTAAGCTAAATGAAAAATATCAACTGTTGCTTGAGAAAGAATCTGTTCAGAAATTCCTTGTTGGTTTGAATGAATCATATTCTACTTTGCGTAGTCAAATTATTCTCCAAGCACCTTTTCTTAGTCTCTCTGTTGTTTACTCTTTCTTTCTACAAGAAGAGTCTCAAAGAACACTTCAACATCCCATTAACTGAGTTCCTTTTCCTTCTAATCCTAATAATACATATGCTTCTGACAATACTAATTCTACTGCCTTTCTAGTCAAAAATCCTAACCACAAAAAGAAATCCATTACTTGCAACCATTGTGGTTATCAAGGACATTATTCTGACAAATGCTTCCAGGTAATTGGTCATCCTCCAAGCTGGAAAGGACCTAAAGGGTTGAGAACAGCTCCTGGTTTCAAACTACCCTCCACTGTTCAGAGTAAACATGCTCATCTGGCCAATACCTTTACTGATTCTCCTACTAATGACATGGAACTATGTGATCCTACTCTCGACAATAAATTTTTGGAGTTTATGAAATCTCAAAGTGATAATGTTGTTACTGCTCATGTTGTTATGACTTTTCCACAACATGATCAATCTTCTAATGATTCTTCTTTCCTAGGTAATCATTCTGTCTTCTTTTCTAATGCTTTAACTTCTATTTGGATTCTTGACACAGGAGTGTCTGATCATATGACTCGCAATTTTAGTTTATATACATCATCGCCTAAACCCACTTCTATTAATGTTCAATTACCTAATGGTTCTTTTATAACACCTACTCACATTGGTGACATTAAACTAAATGATAATCTTATCCTTCACAATGTTTTATATGTTCCACAATTCAGCTTTAACCTTATATCTATTAGCAGTCTAGTTTTATATGAAAATATCCCCGTTCATTTCTCTTCTAATCATGCTACTTTGCAGGATCTGCTCACCAACCAAATGATTGGCTATGCTAATCTTCAAAACGGACTCTATCTTTACAATTCTTCATCATCTATTCTTACACGTAATAAACTTTCTACTGTTAATACTGTTAATTCTCAATATGTGGATAATAAGTATGATATCTGGCATTATAAACCAGGACATCTTCCTTTTAATAAACTCAGTTCTCTTGTTGGTTGTAATGTTCAACATCATTTGAATATAAATTCTTCTTGTGATATTTGTCATTTTGCTAAACAGAATAAGTTACCTTTTCCTACTAGTACTTCTTATGCTTTACATGCTTTTGATCTTGTGCATATGGATGTTTGGGGTCTTTTTAGAGTAGAATCTTATTCTGGTTTTAAATATTTCTTAACTATTGTTGATGATCACACTAGATGCACCTGGATTTTTATGATGAAAAACATGTATGAAGTTAAATTTCATATGCTAAAGTTTTACAATCTTATTCTTACTCAATTTCATACCAAAATTAAAATTATTAGGACTGACAATGGTACTGAATTTATTTCTTCCTTCTTTTTATACTGATAATGGCATTATTCATCAATTATCTTGTGTTGAAACTCCTCAGCAAAATGCTAGGGTTGAAAGAAAACATCAGCATATTCTTCAAGTTGCTAGATCTCTTTTATTTCAATCTTGTTTACCCCTCATTTTTTGGTCTGATTGCATTCTAACTGCTGTTCATATTATAAATAGAATTCCTACCGCCATTCTTAATAATAAGTCTCCATATGAATTACTCTATGGTAAAATGCCTGATAATTCTCATTTAAGAGTTTTTGGCTCTCTTGTCTATGCTTCTACTTTATCTAATGATAGATCAAAATTTGATAAAAGGGCTGTCAAATGTGTTTTCATTAGATACCCTCTTGGTTCTAAGGGTTATAAACTTTATGATAATTCTAATCACAATTTTTTTATATCTAGAAATGTAAAATTTTATGAAATGATTTTTCCTTACAAAAATAATACTAATCCTGTTTTAGATAATGATTCTGTCCATTCTGATTTTGTTTTAGATTCCTTCCCTACTAATGATTATACTTATGACTATAACACACCTTTTAATAACTATTTAGAAAATCAGACCAATGAGGAATTAAATACTATGAATATACATGATTCTACTACTAATACATAAACTGTTTCAGAGGATCAACTACAAAGAAAATCTACCAGAGTAAAATCTCTTCCTATACATCTTTCAGATTACAATTATGAATTACTTAATTCTATTACTACATGTATTTCTTCTTCTTCTTCTTCTTCTTCTTCTTCTTCTGCTTCTTGTACTTTTATTAGATATCATATTCAAAATCATATTACATATACTAGATTAGGAACTGCTCATTCTTGTTTTACTGCTGCACTTTCCAAAATTGTTGAACCTAAAACATATAAACAAGCTGCCAAACTTCCTGAATGGCAGAATGCCATGTTTCATGAAATTCAAGCTTTAGAAAATAACAAAACCTGGATTTTAGTTCCACATCCTCAAAATCACAATATTATAGGATGTAAATGGGTTTTTAAAACAAAACTAAAACCTGATGGTTCTTTAGATAGATATAAGGCCATATTAGTGGCTAAAGGCTATACTCAAGAAGAAGGTTTTGATTATTTTGACAGTTTCTCTCCTGTTGTAAAATTAACCACTGTCAGAATTATTTTGGCTATTGCTAGTGCTAAAAATTGGTTTTTACACCAACTTGATATAAACAATGCTTTTTTACATGGTGACTTAAATGAAGAAATCTTTATGCAACCTCCTCCAGGTTATTTACCCCCTACTGATAACATAATTTGCAAGCTTGTTAAATGTCTCTATGGTCTTAAACAGGCATCTAGGCAATGGTTTTGTAAGCTTTCCAACTCCTTAAAGCTTTTTGGTTAGAAACAGTCTCAGGCTGATTGCTCATTATTTTCTAAAATTGATGGGACTGCTCTTACTGTGCTTTTGGTTTATGTAGATGATATCATCCTTGCTAGAAACAGTATGGAAGAAATCTCTGTAGTGAAAACTTATTTAAATAACAAATTTACTATTAAAGATATTGGTACATTAAAATATATTTTGGGAATTGAAATTACTAGGTCTGATAAAGGTATAAATTCATGTCAGAGAAAGTACACTTTAGATATTTTGACTGACTATGGTTATCTTAATTCTAAACCTTTTAATACTCCTATGGACTCCAAACTTAAACTGTCTAAAACCGATGGAACTGTTTTAGAAAATCCTAAAACATATAGAACACTTACTCGTAAGTTGCTCTATTTAACTGTAACTAGGCCTGATATTGCTTATAGTATACAAATTCTTAGTCAATTTCTTGCTTCTCCTACTGATGTTCATTTACGTGCAGCTCATAGGGTTCTGAGATACCTTAAGAATTCTCCAGGTAAAGGTTTAGTTTACCCATGTACTTCTGATTTTTCTGTACAAGGACACACTAATTCAGATTGGGCTGCCTGCATAGATACTAGGAGAAGTGTTTCAGGTTATGCCTTTTACCTTGGTAATTCTTTAATTTCTTGTAAATCTAAAAAACAACAAGTTGTTAGTAGACCCTTAACTGAAGCTGAATATAAGACAGCTGTTAATGATGTGTGTGAGGCTCGATGGTTATCATATATCTTTAATGATTGACATATACCTGTTTCCTTACCCATAATTATATATACTGACAACAAATCCACTTGTCATCTTGCTCATAATCCCATACAACATCAAAGAACAAAGCATATAGAACTGGACTCCCATTTAGTTAGAGAAAAAATTGATTCTGGATTGATTACTTTGCATCATATTAAAAATGATTTTCAACTTGCAGATATTTATACCAAACCGCTTGGAAATCCTCTGTTTAGTCAATTTGCAGTCAAGATGAACATGCAAGACATTCATGCTCCTCTTGAGGGGGCGTATCAAGAATAATAAGCTGGGATTGCTGCTTTGGGGCTAAAATATTAAGCTGGAATTGATGTTATGTGCCTATTCATTATTCTATTGGGCTTTGTATATATTCTTTAATAGCCTTTATGTAATAAGTATAAATACCAAAACTTATTGTAATTAGGTTAACCTTTTCATTCAATCGATCTTCTTACTTCCGCTATCTTCTTCTCCAAACCTTCATCATCTTTGATTTCAATTTCATCAAATTTCTGGAGATAAATCTCAACACGAGCTCATTGAAATATGAAGTTTTATTTGTTAATTGTTATGCATTAATCCTAATTAATCTTTATATCATCAATAGACTTTGGCTTTCTTGTGTTAGAGGATTGATTTTTGTGTTGTGTATAGTTTAGTTTAGTTTATAAATGGGAAAGTTCCCTAAATAGGACTAAAACAGTTTGAAAAATCCAAAATAGGACTGTCATGTTTTTTATTCCCAAAATATGAGTAATTATTGTCAAGTTTAGAAAATACTGTCGTGTTTGAAGTCTGGTACTGCCAAAACATGCCAGTTATTAGTCATATTTTGGGAATAAAAACATGACAGTCCTATTTTGGATTTTTCAAAGCCTTTAGTCCTATTTCGGGTAATATTCTCTTTATAAATGAATTTACACACGCATTGCATGTAATAATGTGGTTAAATTGATCTCATATGTCTTTTATGCATGCATGTTGTGGTTTGTTCCATGATGGTAATATGTTTTTATATAACTAGTAATTAACTTTTATTTTTATGTAACTTAAAGTTTTTATATTGATAGAACAAATAAATATTCATCTCAAGTACATCACATATGATGTATATATTCATGAACTTTATTCAAACTAATCACAAACAATGTAAATTTAGAATATATACTGATAAACCCAGAATTTAACATTCAACAAACATAAGCAGTGATAAAGAAGCAGATAGAAAGAAATCGAGAAGATGAACCGAATCTGGTATACCGTATGAAAACCCCGCTGCTCTCCCTGGAGAAGGAGAGCAGCGGAAACCCTACTCTCTCTATCTCGCCTCTGCGCCTCTAAGCCTCTTTTCGATCAGTTAGGGTTCCCGTAAGTTAGCCTCCTTTTATAGGAGAAGTTAGCTAACTTACGGGTTACAAGGAAGCCCCCGGGCTGATACACATTTGTGGCCTGTATTACACGTTTAATTAATAACTACACAAATACAAAGATATTTAATTAGATTGGACACCATAAAATATTCCTAACAATCTCCCCATTGGTGTTCAATCGTGTTGAATCAGCATTGCAGCGCAGATATCTTTGTCTTTGTTGTTATTCAGCTTCCTTTGTCTTTGAACTTGACTTCTGAGGAAGGCTATCTGAAGAAATCCTTGCAATATCCCCTTTGATGTCTTCTTGACAATTTGATCTTTGATGTCGGGGGTTGAGGGACCTTCAGTATCTTGCATGTAGTCCTTGCCTTCCAGAAGTTGCTCTTGATCAGCTTGGATGAAATCCGGTGACGCCTCTAGAATGAATATTCTTTGGAGAATAGGAGATGCCCATGGAATTCATCTTCAGGACACGAGTATTTGACCTCTGTCTCCTCCACAATGTAGTCTTTTTGACTATTTGGAATGAATGCATTTGAGGAGAACTTGTCGGTGGCACAGCGGAACATAATGATTGTTGATTTGTGAGTGTAGCTGACCATTTGATTTGAGTTGTAGAGATAGCAGAGAAGGTATTGATTTTTGTGATGGAGGAGTGAAGTGTCCCAGAATGATTTGTTCAGTGTTAACAGCATGTGGACCACTCTCCCCCTCATGACGATCCGATGAATCGGGACGTCATGCTTTTATTCTTTTATTCTGCAGAAAAAAAAAACAGGAAACAAACAGAAAGAGTAAATGATAAAAAAAAACCCGGGGTCGAGAAGACACCCGTTTTCATCACTATAGAGATAAACTCTAAAGTAATGGCCTGAAAATGTTGGTGATTCTTAAGTTGCAACAGCAGGACTTCCTTCCAATTATTGGTCTACATCTGTAATAGATGAGCCCTATGGAAGTTCTCGCGGGTCATGTAGACCTGCAACTGACTCTAAAAGTGCGTCTGTGTCCTAGAAAATTTCAAAACATTTGGGAGTGAGTGACTAGACACGACGTGATCAATGAAAGTTCAGTGGCATGGGGCTGAGGCCACTGTAGTCAGTATTACTTGTCTCGGAAGGAGACAGTATTGAGAGATGCGGTTCCCCGTGAAATATGATTAAACACCTGTCTGTTGGGAGACAAGTGAGTGGTCTAGGTTAGGGTTGTGCATGCGCCGTTTGGACAAAATGCAGCGACTTCTACCCGGGATCTGAATAAATTCAGTCCTGAACCTATGGGGATAGTCCAGAGTATTTGAGTGGCTAGGAGTAAATGTTCAATTCATAGCAGGCAATTGAGGTAGCAGACTCATCATTGATTATTGTTTCCTTCTCACTTGAGCCTTCTGCTTCCTAATGCTCATAATGTTCACTCACTCACTCGCTCACTTACGCACTTACGCTCGGCTTTGACCCTTGGGTAGGCTTAGTTGGGTTTACTAAGCCATAGGGACATGTTCTCTCATTACTTTCTTCATTTTCTCTCTGTACTCCCCCTCAACTGGAGTACTCGGTATGCTTTGTCATTGTTAGGCACCGGGAAGGATAACATTGAACACTCCCCCTAAAATGTTGCATCCTTTGAGAGATTCTTTGCTTTGTCGGTGTAAGGCGCCAGGAGGAGAAAACTGAAACTCCCCCTCAGAATGTGCAAGGTTTGATTGTTCACTGCTTGTCATACCCGCCATGTGTGTGGAGCAATCTGAACATGTACCACACATGACGGTTTCCCTGAGCTCATCATGTAGAATTTCAGCATATTGATGATCACATAATGTTGACGAGTCAGGGGAGGCTTCAGCAGTTGATTGTTGTAAGATGACCGTTGACGCGAGGTTGATTGAATTATCTACGATTTTCAGACCTTTATTTTGAAGTTTAGAAAAGCTTTGACCTCAGGGTTGACAATGAAAGAATTTGAACAGATTTGCCTAAGTTTTGACCTGGACATCGGTGATTTACAATGTTTGTCGGAAAACTAACGTTTTGACCCTCAAGGACTGCGAGTGATGGCGCGTGAGTATGGGTTATGGGGCTCAACCCTAGAAGTAATGTAGATCTTCTCGTTAGCTTTCCAACAAAAAAAAGTTTGCTCAAATCGGATCACCGAGTCAAAAGTTATGGCCTAAACAGTGCGGTGTCGCAGAAAATCTCTAATTTTGAGTTTTTGAGGAATTTCTTCGAAGATGAGGTTCTCGATGTTGAATATCGAGAGCAGGTGGATTTTAAACAAAATTCTAAGGCAATACCTCGAAATCCGAATCTCGAGGTTTAGATCTCGAGATTACAATCTCGAGGTTTAGATCTCGAGATTACAATCTCGAGGTTTAGATCTCGAGATTACAATCTCGAGGTTTAGATCTCGAGATTACAATCTCGAGTTTGCCTCGAAGAATAATGGCGAAATCCACCTGCAAAACAAACCTCAGAATATCGAAATCTGCAGAATTTCAAAATGTTTGGAACATCGAAAACTTTGGAGTTTCGAAAACCTCATAATCTCGAAAACTTGTTGTTTGAAAAACATCAGAACATCGAAAACTCCTGAAACATTTATAAGTAGGGAATTATTCAGAAATCCTATAATGTAAAGCTTCGATGAACTGCGAAGAATGTCAAGATTCGAATTATGAGTTCCAAGAAACTGCAAACTTTGAAAGATTAAAAACATCAAGAAATTTTGAAAATCTCGAAATCTTCAAAATGTCAAGATCCAAAATATCGAGATCCCAAATGTCGAAATCCCAAAACTCGAAATTCCAAAAGATTTTCAGAGGCAGAATGTCGAAAATCAGATGTCGAGATCTGAATATCGAGATCTAGGATTTCGATAAAGGAGGCCCGATTTCGAGATTTGATATCGAGATTAGGATGTCGAGTTTTGAAATCTCGAGATTTCAAATGTCGAGAAGTAAATCTCGAGATTTGAGATGTCGAGAAGTGAAACTCGAAATATTATTTCGAGAAGTCAAATGTCGAGACCAGAAGTCGAGACCTTAAAATCAAAACCTTGATCTCGAGATTTGGATGTCGAGATCCTCAATGTCGAAATCCTGCAAAATGAAAACATCGATTTTTGAAAATCTGAAACCTGTTCTGAAAAGCCCTGAAGGTCGAGATTCTCCTGTATCAGTTTCAAGCTAAAAACGTTTCTGCAGTAGTGAAAAATAAGGATTTCGAGATCTCAATATAGAGATCTTCGAAATATAAAAATTGCAGAAAACGAAAAAAGAGGTATGCTGCTTGATCGGTTTTGAAAGGCGAGTCCAACGTATGATTTTTACAAAATTTCGTTCACAAACAAGATTACAGGAGCAAATCTCTACATATTAGAAAAACAGAAGAAAAGCAGAGCAGTTCTTCGTTAGATCCAAAAAATCGCAGATAGATCCAACCTGTTTCACGCCTCGGCTCTGATACCAATTGATAAACCCAGAATTTAACATTCAACAAACATAAGCAGTGATAAAGAAGCAGATAGAAAGAAATCGAGAAGATGAATCGAATCTGGTATACCGTATGAAAACCCCGTTGCTCTCCCTGGAGAAGGAGAGCAGCGGAAACCCTACTCTCTCTATCTCGCCTCTACGCCTCTAAGCCTCTTTTCGATCAGTTAGGGTTCCCGTAAGTTAGCCTCCTTTTATAGAAGAAGTTAGCTAACTTACGGGTTACAAGCAAGCCCCCGGGCTGAAACACATTTGTGGCCCGTATTACACGTTTAATTAATAACTACACAAATACAAAGATATTTAATTAGATTGGACACCATAAAATATTCCTAA